GTGTGTGTGTGTGTGTGTGTGTGTGTGTGTGTGTGTGTGTGCGTGGTGTGGATGATCTTTACATGGTCTGGAAGTTCTGACAGCTGTAGTTTTTGCTGCTCAGACAGCGCAGGAACGTCTCTGAAGCGGACGGCAGGAACGGTTGCAGACGCTCAGACAGCCACCACACGACACCGTCATCTGAGAGTCTGTCCAGACGCAGTTCCCGGAGGACATCCAGAGCCACTGAGGCAGAGCTGCTGCTCCACCATAATGACTGAACACACAAGAGGAAGACACTGAACAAACACTGATGGAGACACTGATGGAGGCACTGATGATGGAGACACTGATAAGGACACTTATTTCTCCCCAAAATATAAATCTAGGTGTGCTATTTTTGACCTGAGCTCTTCAGTTTTTTGTTAGATTAATGATCAGTTGTATTATTGGTATGGACTAATCTACTGTATATGCATGAACAGATTACTGTAAAGCATCCTGAAGAATGTGTAATGTAAAAGAGAGATCTGTGAGGGCTCAACTCATTCATACTGTACACACACACACACACTCCTGCTGTGCAATGTTGTGCCCACTAGGCTCTACATACAATATAATCAGTTCATCATTTCCAAAACTAGAAATGGAGAGTCAATAACAGACGTTTTACGTGGACAATAGTTGGTTCTCTAGCTGACTCAGAGAGATGTGCTGCAGACAGGAGTGAGGCTGTGCTTTTACCCTGTCCGACAGTATTTGCAGAGCCACATTCAGCAGGTCTGACGCTCCGGTCAGGAGGAGTTTCCAGCTGTCAGGTGTGCTGGAGACGGCATCAGACAGGTGACAGGACAGCACAGACACTAGCTGATCCACACTGAGCAGCACCTGAACACACACACACACACACACACACACTCACTCAGAACACCGCCTCATCACGCCTGGTCAAACAGCTGCATTCTGGGAAATATAGGCTGATTACCGGGGTGCATGCGTATTGTGTGACACTGAAGTCACAAAGGCCGGTTGTAGTGTTTCTGTTGTTCAGGAGCTGCTGTAACGCAGAGCTGCGACACATCGGGACACACAAACACTGTTAGAAGCCATTTCCACAATGTTTACAGCCTAAATCGAGAAACTTGAATATGATTTGTCTACACAAACATAGTTCGCTTCATTTGGTCTGGATCAAGGGTAATAAATGATGCATTGTTGCATCTTCTGCCGTCTTTGGGTCATTTTCACACCACACTGCTGGCTTTGGTCTGAACCAGTTGAAACAAACCAAAATGCAGTCATGTGACAAAATCCACATCTCTCATTGGCCAGATGTTGTTGAACATATTTCCTAAACTGCTCATTGATTGGTCAGAATTCACGTGCGGGAAAATGCCAGTGAACTCCCGCAGGTTAACAAAACCTTTTACTCTGGAGGGGCGACTGCGCTGGCTGACTGTATCCCTGCTTTAGACAAACTATACATTACGAAAATGAAGCGCGGCCGCGGCTGGAAAACAGTGTTTAATGCATCACTCGTCACTTCAGGAGGAGCCGTGAATTAATTCAGCTAAACTGCGACATGCTCATCTTGCGGAAATATTACCAACGACCCATCAGCTAATGTTTTCCCTCTCTCTCTCTCTCTCTGTTGGTAAAGCGCTGTCAACAAATATTTTCCCTCCATATCCCATAATGCACAGCGCATCGGCCTACGGCCGCTGGATTAGTCCAAAAGGCGCAGTACTTTTTGCGGTTGGACCTGTTTTAGATCGGATCATATTCTCACCACAAACGAACCGCTCCAGGGTTCGTTTGAAAGCGTACAGAGACAACCTCCTTAAGCAGGTCTCATTACGCTTATTTATTCCGCTTTTGGTGCGCACTAGAGTACGATTGCTGCATTCACACCTGCCCAAACCAACCGCACCAAAAGGGGAAACGAACTCTAGTGCGATTCAATCCAACTAAATAAGGCAGGTGTGAAAGCACCCTAAAAATGGGTTCAAAGTGGAAGTTTTTGGAAACAGAGCTGTTATCATGTCCATGCAAACACACAAAACGAAAGTCTGAAAACGATGACGTCACACACGTGCATTGACCTTATTCCTTCACTTCCATTGATTTTACATGGTAAAATAGCCAGTCATGTTGCTTGAAGGTGCAACTGGATATTTTCTGATCATATTACTCTCATTTGTATGTATATACATGAACACACTTGTTTGTTTGTAGAGCGAGCAGAGTGACCATTTGAGCTGTTATTCCTAGTCATTTCTCTCATAGGTGACAGAAACGAGCGCAGCTTCATATTGCAGATCAAGGACAGCAGTACATGTTTAGGGAAGTGTTGATCAGAGGCAAAAAGCTGAACTCTACCTGTTCACTGCACTGCACACCTGAGTCTCTGTAAACACACACACACACACACACAAACACACACACACACACACACGCAATACACACACACGCACACACACACAGCCACACACACACACACAGTCATGCACACACACACACACACACACACACACACACACAGAGCGAGAGAGAGAGACGCACAGCACCATGCTCTCTCTCTCTCTCTCTCTCTCTCTCTCTCTCTCTCTCTCTGTGTGTGTGTGTGTGTGTGTGTGTTTCCGAATAAAGCGAGGGAGCGGTCTGTAACTTGAAAGGGAGGGGTTGCGCGGTCTAACAATATCGCTCCCGAGCGAGCGAGCACGCGCGCATCCACGTGGATGCAGTTTGTGTGTGTCTCTCTCTCTGTCTCTCATTCACACACACACATAGAGAGAGAGCACCAAGTGACACACTTGGTAATAAGAGAGCATGCTCTCTTATTTACACACATACATACACACACACACACACACACACACACACACTTCAGGTCACTTGGTGCACGACTCGCCATCTTACCTCACCTCTCTCTCTCTCTCTC